CGGGGCCCCCCTGGGGGCCCCCCTTTGGGGGGCCCCCTTGGGGGGCCCCCTTGTATTTATAGGGGCCATACTTCTTTGTTTACTCTGCTGGTTTGTATATTTATATTATTTTATAATGCATGTTTTATTAAATATATTAAGTATTACACCGTAAACCCTAAACCCTAAACCCTAAACCCTAGGGCCCTTCGGGGCAGGGCGCCAAACCCTAAACCCCAATACTATCGGGGCCTGGGGGGGCCCCCCAATACCCCTCTCTTGGGGGCCCCCCTCGGCGTGTATAGCAGCAGCAGACTAAACTCCTTGCATGCGTTTCTCTTTGCAGCACATCAGGGGCCCCCGGGGCCCCCCTGCCTGCACCAGCCCGCATGCTTCAAGGGGCCCCCTAGGGGGGGCCCCCTTGGGGGGGCCCCCCAGAGGCCCCCCAGGGGGCCCCCCAAGAGGCCCCGCGAGCTATACGTCTAGCAAGGGGGCCCCTTGTGCGGCTCTATGGGGGCCCCCGGGGCCCCCCGGGGGCCCCATGGCTACCAACGTGCTTCGCTCAGGCCTGCTGGGGGCCCCTGAGAAGAGGGTACAGCTGCGGTGTTGTGTTGAATTGGTGCAGCCGTTGGGGGGCCCCCTGAAGCCTTTGGGGGCCCCCCTTTGTGCGTGTGTGCTGAGCTGTTGTCGTTTGTTTAGTTCTTATAAAGATAGGAGAGAAGCTAGGGTGCTGCAGCTGCTGCAGCAGCAGCAGAAAGAAGCAGCAAAGCAGCTGTCGTCAGGGGCCCTCTGGCATATATGGAACCCACCGGGGATCGTCTTCAGCTCCCGCAGGTAATGCTGCAGCAGCAGCAGCAGCAGCAGCAGCAACAACAGCAGCAACAGCAGCAGCAAGAGCAGCAGCAGCAAGAGCAGCAGCAGCAAGAGCAGCAGCAGTAGCAGCAACAGCAGCAGCAGCAGCAACAGCAGCAGCAGCAAGAGCAGCAACAGCAGCACGTAGAGTAGCGTTATCCGTGCCCCAAGCAGCAGCAACTCCAGCAGGAGCAGCAGCAGCAGCAGCAGCAGCAGCAAGAGCAGCAGCAACAGCAGCAGCAGGAGGAAGAGTTGTTTTATAAAGCAAAATAAAAATTAATATATTTATTTATTGTGTATTCAGGCCTATAAAGAAATACCTACCCCCCCCGGAGGCCCCCCAATGGCTGAACTTTGCTGCTAGGGGGCCCCTCTGTCTGTGGCTGCTTGCTGCTGGTACCCTCAGGGGCCCCTGCTTCTTGCTGCAGCTGCTGCAGCAGCAACAAAACTATAATTATGTTGGAGCTACACACGACCCCCATGTGCTGCATGCAGTCTTCGCCGAAGCAGTGAAGTATGCTGCTGCTGCTGCTGCTGTTGTTGCTGCTGCTGCTGCTGCTGTTTCTCCTGTCCGCTGCTGCTGCTACTCGGGCTGTTGCTGCTGCTGCTGCGCTTGGTGCTGCTGCTGCTGCTTTTTCTGCTTCTGCTGATGATCTCGTTGTTGTTGGTGCTTTTGGTGGTGCTACTGCTGCTGTTCGTGCTGCTGCTGCTGCTGCTGCTACTGCTGCTACTCCTGCTGCTGCTGCTGCTGCTGCTGCTGCTGCTACTGCTGCTGCTGCTGCTGCTGCTGCAGGCGTTTTGGCTTCTGTGAAGACAGCGGCGAGGCGTTTCGTTGTCTTCGTTTGCTGCTGATGCATCCTTCTCTGGTTCCTCCTTTCTTTGTTGAGAGCAGCCTATCAGAGGCATGGGTTTATATAACTCTCCCCTGCAGCAGCAGCAGCAGCAGCAGCAGCGGGAGCAGGAGCAGCAGCAGCAGCAGCAGTGGGAGCAGCAGCAAGAACAGCAGCAGAAAAAAAAAACAAACAGCACATCCATTGCTTAACCCAGAGTTCCTCGCGCTGCTGCACCCACGATGTGCGCCTGGCTGCCGTGTATATTTCTTCTTTGAGCTGCAGCAGCAGCAGCAGATGCACCTGCAGCAGCAGCAGCAGCAACAGCAGCAACAGCAGCAGCAGCTGCTGCAGCAGGCACGTCAGCAGCTGCAAGACGCCCTCAACCTCCTGCGCATCAGCGCCAGGGGCCCCCAGAACAAAGGGGGGCCCTCTGAACCTTTATTTGAGTTCATAGATGTGGGGGCCCCGGGGGGGCCCCCTTGGGGGCCCCCCCTGGGGGCCCCCATGGGGGCCCCTGGGGGGCCCCCCCTTGGGGCCCACTCAGCTGTAGAGCTGCGAGCTGACGACTGCTGGCTGCAAGGGAAAGCTGTACCCTATACTGCTCTCTTTGATGATGAGATAGGGGGCCCCCCAGAAGAAGGGGCCCCCCGCTGTGCTTCTGCTGCTGCTGCTGGTGCTGGTGCTGGTGCTGCTGCTGCTGCAGCTGCTGCTGCACCCCTAGAGATGCGGCTCGCCAATGGGGCCCACGTGAGGGTTGTCGGGGGCCCCCGCACAAGTGCGCCAGGGGGGAGGGGCCCCCAGAAGGGTACTGAAGGGCCCCCCCCTGCTGCTGTGAGGATGAAGGGGGGCCCCCCGCTGCTGCAGGGTAGTGCTACTGTCTTCTATGCTGCTCTTGTACGCAGAGAACCCCTGCTGCCTAACTTCCGCTTTAAACCCTAAAATATTTATTGTTGTATTAGCGAGGGTTTAGGGTTTATCTTAATATGGAATATACAATGAGGGTTTAGGGTTTAGGGTTTAGGGGTTTAGATAATAGACTTTTGTTAGTACAGGGAATGCTACGCAGATAAGGCCCTTGTCTGTACAGGGTTTAGGGTTTAGGGGTTTAGGGTTTAGGGTTTTATACGTAACCATA